GTTCCCATTATCCCTTAATTAGAGTAATATTAGCCGGTATCTACTCACTTAGTCCATATTAATTTGAGTAGTCTATGGGCATACAAAAAATATACCACTTGATTTTTGCCCATTATATTAAATAGCTAATATAATTGTATTAATATGTTGCCAATATTAATTTAGGAAAATCGTGTTTTTCTAACAATCTCCCACTTGGCTACATATTATTCCTTAAACAATTATATTACAAAACTCCTTAGGCGTGCATCTGTATGCTATTTATCATTAGACTACTCCTTAAACAATCTTGTCCATCTCATATACTAATAATGGAACCACCGTAACTTTCATCACAATACATTAGTGATTAAACCACGATGATCAACATATTAATACACTTAATGACATAGATCAAATATGGATGAATAGCATGGAAATTTACATGAAATGTGATCTCAAACATGCCTATTTCCAACTGGTCCTTCTTTAGTCTTTAGTGAGATCATTCCAAAGTCCTTAATGCAATGCAAACATTGCACAATGAAAAGACAAGCAAACTCAGAAATAGAATCATAGACCATCAACTTTATTCTGCAGAAGGTTAAATAATTTAATATCTAAAGCAAACATATAGAACATAAAATTGACTGCCACTAGACTAGAATATCCTTGGAAATAACGCCCATGTGAGCAGTGTGTTCATAAAAGACCTTCGACGTTAAGCCCTTGGTTAGTGGGTCCGCTAGCATGAAATTTGTTTCTATATGTTCTATGGAAATCTGTTTATCTTGAACTCTCTCCTTAACAACTAGAAACTTGATATCAATGAATCTCGACTTTGTCGAACTCCTATTGTTGTTGGAGTAAAGTACCGCTGAGTTATTGTCACAATAAATCTTTAATGGCCTGTCAATGCCATCTATCCCTCGTAGTCCAGTGACAAAGTTTCGTAGTCATATTCCATGGTTGGATGCCTCATAACAAGCAATGAACTCCGCAGCCATGGTTGAAGAAGATATGAGAGTCTGTTTAGCAGACTTCCATGAGATAGCTCCTCCAGCCAACATAAAGACGTAGCCTGATGTGGAGCGTCTGCTATCTTGGTATCCCGTAAAATCGGAGTCAGAGAACCTGATGATCTCTAAACTATCTGATCTCCGATAAGTGAGCATGTAGTCTTTTGTTCTCCTCAAATAACGCATCACGCGTTTGGCTGCTTTCCAATGTTGCATGCCAGGATCACTCAAGTATCTACCAAAAACTCCCACTATAAATGCTATGTCGGGACGAGTACAAATTAGAGCTCTTTTCTTTCAAGATCATTATTGGGGCACTGTTTGAGACTAAACTTATCTCCTTTAGAGATGGGCGTGTCTCCTGATCTACTATCTTTCATGCCAATTCTACTCAAAACCTTATCGATATAGCTCTTTTGTGAAAGTCCAAGAATACCTCGAGAACGATCTCTCAGTATCTGAATACCTAATACAAAAGAGGCATCCCCAAGATCTTTCATCTCAAATTTCTTCGTCAGAAATTTCTTGGTTTCATTCAATAAGCTTATATCGCTGCTAGCGAGTAGAATATCATCAACGTATAATACCAAGAAGATATATTTACTCCCACTGAACTTATGATATACACAGTCATCAACAACATTTGCCTCAAAGCCGTACGAGGTAATGATTTGATGGAACTTGTGATACCATTGACGGAAAGCTTGTTTGAGACCGTAGATGGATTTCTTCAACTTACAAACCATAGACTTTGGATCTCTTGATACAAAGCTTTCTGGTTGTACCATGTAAATCGTCTCATCAATG